TTTAAACTTCTTATGGTTATAAAAGTAATTTATGTTATGTGTGAAACATTTGTAATGTACAAAAAACTACAGAAAAAATAAAACTAAAGTAGAAGTCATCTACAACCCCTATCCAAACATATATACTGTTAATACTTTGAGATACTTCCTTCTGGTTTTTCTTTTAAAGATAGTTTATCCATGTATGCATTCATTATTTGATTAATACTATCATATGCTGTTTGTTAATACTTGCATTATATCGCAAGCATTTTATCATGTTATTAAATATAATCCTTGAATACTGTTTTTAAAGGCTGAATAATATTCTTTCGTAAGGATACACCATTATTTATTTCACTATTTTCATACTTGTATTTTTATTGTGGTAAAAAAACACATAACTTTAAATTTTACCATCTTAACCATTTTTAAGTGTACAGTTCAGTAGTATTAAGTATATTTACATTGTTGTACACAGATCTCCAGAACTTTTTCATTTTGCAAAACTGAAATCCACTAAACACTAGTTCCCCCTCTAACTTCCCCCTGCTCCACCCTTGCTAATCATCTACTTCCTGTTTCCATAATTTCTGACTATGTTAGATACTTCAAATGAGTGAAATCATACAGTATTTGTCCTTTCATGACTGGCTTATTTTGCTTAGCATAATGTCTTTGAGGTTCATCCATGCTATGGCAAGGGACAGGATTTATTTCCTTTTTTAAGGCAGCATAATATTTCACTTTATGTATATACTACATTTTCTTTATCCATTTCTCTGTCAATAGATATCGTGGCTATCGTGAATAATGCTGTAATGAACATGGCGGGTGAAAATAGCTTTCTGAGATCCTGCTTTGAGTTATTTTTGATATATACCCAGAAGTGGGCTTGCCAGATCATATAGTAATTCTATTTTCACTTTTGTGAGGAACCTCCATACTGTTTTCCACAGTAGCTGCACACCATTTTACATTCCCACCAACAGTGCACAAAGATTCCAGTTTCTCCACATCCTTGCCAACATTTCATTTTCTGTTCTTTCGATAGCAGGCATTCTTATTAATGTGAGGTGATATCTCACTGTGGTTTTGATTTATATTTCCCTGATGATTAGTGATGTTGAGCATTGTTTCATATGTTTGCTAGCCATTTGTATATCTCCTTTGGAGAATTGTCTGTTCAAACCATTTGCCTGTTTTTAAATCAAGTTATTTGTTTTTGTTGTTGTGTTGTAGAAGTTCCTTTTACATTCTGGATATTAACCCTATGTCAGATACATAATTTGCAAATATTATCTCTCATTCCATAGGTTGGCTTTTTATTTCTTTGACACTCAAAATTTTTAAGTTTAATATCGTCTCATTCATCTATTTTTGTCTTCGTTGCCAGTGCCTTTGGCGTCACATCCAGGAATCATTGTTATACTCAATGTCCTTCTTCTCAAATGTTTTATAGTTTAGGCCTTACATTTAGGTCTTTAATTTTTTAGTTAATTTTTGTATATGGTGTAAGATATGGGTCTAAATTCATTCTTTTGCTTGTGAATGTCCGGTTTTTAAAAAATCATTTTGTTGAACAGACTGTATTTTCCCCATTGTGTAGTCTTGCTGAAAATCATGTAGGCCTTATATGCAAGGGTTTATTTCTGGGCTCTTTATTCTATTTCATTGGTTTCTATATCTATCTTTATGCCTGTACTACACTGTCTTGATTACTGTTACTTTGTAGTATGTTTTGAAATTGGGAAGAGTGAGGCTTCCAACTTGGTCCTTTTCTTTCGAGATTATTTTGGCTATTTGGGGTCTCCTGCAATTCCATATGAGTTTTAGGATGTTTTCTTCCTACTTCTGAAAAAATGCCATTGGGATTTTGATAGAGACTGCATTAAATCTGTAGATTAATTTGATTAGTATGAACATTTTAATGATATTCCAGTCTTCCAATCCATGAGCCTGGGAGGTCTTTCTATTTATTTGTATCTTCTTTGATTTCTTTTAGCAATGTTTTGTATTTTCAGCGTACAAGTCTTTTACCTCCTTTTTAAAACCATACTTAGCCTTTTAAGATTGCAAATAGTTCTATAATAAACATCTATGTGCAAAAATATTTCCTATAGCTCTGATTATTTTCTAATTATAGAGTTAATAAATAAAATTAAAAAATCCAGACATTTTAAGGCTCTGGAAACACTTTGTCAGTTTGTTTTCCAGAAAAAGTAAAACAATTTACATTCCCACCAGAAGAATATGAGAGTGCATTTCATCATAATCTCATCATTGAATACTGTCATTTTGCAATCTTTGCTAATGGGTTAGTTGAAAAATGACATCATGTTGTCACCTCAATTAGTAGTCTTTTGATTACTTGTGAAGCAGAACACTCATTTTGTATGTTTATTGACTAATGTTTTCTTGTTTGAAAACTAATAATTACTTTTGCCCCTTTTAGTATAATAATGATAATAATATTTATTCATTTTTTACACAGATATTTATTTGGCATCTACTATGTGCCAGGCACTATTCTAACTGCTGTAGGGATACAGAAGTGCCTCTTACTGAATGTAAGCTCCATAAGAAAAGAGAAGGACAGTAAACAAAATGAAGAAGTAAAGTAGGATGGCAGAGGGTGATAGGAACTATGGAGAAAAATGAAGCAGGGATGGGTAATGTTAGGACAGAGAGAGAACAGGACATAATTTAAAACAGGGTGGTCAGGTAAGGATTTATCAAGCAGATGATATTTGAGCAAAGACATAAAGGAAGTAAGGGAGGGAAGAGCATTCCCACGAAGAGGAAACGTGCAGAAGTATGGCTAGTATGTTCAAAGAAGACTAAAGGTCGGGTAGCTCAAATGAGGAAAGCAATGGAGACAGTAATAAGAGGTGAAGTCAGAGAGCTACTGGTGGGGGCACTTAGAGCAGGGCTGTGGAAGTGAGGTGAGCATTCCACCCATTCAGGATCATTTCATGTCTCTATGCAAGCCTTGATAAAATGGAGTAATTTCTTCACTTAGGTTTTATACATTTCTTATGATGATTATTTCTAGGTATTTCATGTTTTTATGACTATTATGAATGGAAACTGATTTTTTTTCCAGTATATTTTCTAGCTGGTTACTTCTAGTACATAAAAAGTGGCTGATTTATGGACACTTCTTAAATGTCTCCACTTAAACTGAACTTCTCGAGTGTAAGAATCTTTGGTTAACTCTCTTGGATTTTAAAAATAGAGTATCATTATATGCTCCTCATAATATTGATAATTTTTTATATTTTCTAACAATTTAACTTATCTATATTTTATACTGTGATTTATAGTCACTAAAACCCACCCTAAATGCTGAAAAGATACTGAAACATGTATCCATAAAATTCCTGTTAATGGAGGCCTCTAGTGCACTAACGTGCACTGTAATATTGGTTGTAAGTCTGAGGTTGTTATTCATCAGCAATTTCATGAACTTACTTTGTAGATTTAATTTTTAAAAGTATTTTTTAAAAATCAGGAATATATCTTAAATTTAACCAAATATTATTTTGGCACGTATCAATCGAGCTGGTCTTTGAACTACCAAAGAGATAATCGTTCGGGTACTTGTTGCCTTTTTCTAAACAGATTTTAAAAAGTCATCTCTTACTATCATAAACTATAAAGCACCCATACAAACGGTAATAAAAGGTAATTATTACATCCTTACTTTTTTTATATTTAGGAAAAGCTTTAAGAGCATTTTATATTTATGTGTTTAAAAATTCAAACGTCTATGTATCAAACATAACATTTTCACGAAGCTAAAGTTACAAAGTATCTGAAGTAAAACGAATATTTATTAAATGCCTGTTACATGCAAGAAAGCACTATGCTAAGCCGCACTACTGAGGATGAATGCTAAGCAAGCAGTACTACTGAGGGTTAGGTGCCTGGTAGGTACTAGACCTATGGGTTGGAGAGAGAATCACTTGGTAAGTTACATAAATGTCTAACTACTATGCTGTACACCTGAAACTAATATAATATTGAATGTCAACTGTAATTGGCGTTGGTTATTTTGAGGAGATGATGCCACCAAGCAATATATTAAAAACCAGCAGCTACCTGTTTCTGTGAGCACTCTATAGCACGCTCGCTGCCCCAAGTCTCCACGAGTATCTTCTTGCTATGTTATCACATCAGCCTGCCTAAGACATGGTGAGACGTAGAGCTGGCATTTATTTTCTGAGCTTATGGTAATACGTTATCTCGTTAGTGGTTTTTATCTTTTAAGCTCATTCATGGAACTGAGGTTCCGCTATTGCCGACCATATGCATCCCTGGTAGGAGAGGATACAGCTGCATACTGTGCTTGGGAAGGTGAGTATTAATGGAAAGAATTGTTTTAAAAGTCTCTCTAGATCGTTGGCTTAGACAGCCTTCTTCCTGGGTGCTGACACCTCTTGGATGTGGGGCACACAAACCATTTCTACCAATCTAGCTGCTTTGTGGTTTTCCTGATTCTCTGTTTACCAGCAAAATATCTCTCAAGCTAGTCTTAGGAAACAGAAGACTTAGTCACGTGTTCCAGAAGAGCACAACAAAGGTGAACCATTCAATTGGCTAGCTGTGAGCTGTAGCTGTTGACATCATAGCTAGGAATGGCCCTTGGTTCCCTTCTTAAAGGCCAACAGGCCATTTGAACCAGGCTACTTGATAACTTGCAAAATGCTAGCATCTCCCATTGATTCCTTTCAAAGGAGTGTATAAGATTTTCTGGCTAGGAATGCTGCATATAATCATTTGGTTACAGCAGTATATGAGTTTACTTCAAAATGACTAGAATTTTGAATGTGCTGGTTCATTTATATACACATACACACACATGCACTGTTGTCGCCTAATAGTTGTGTTAATACAATGCCTTTCTTTTTATTTGGATAGCAATTGTATGTTTGGAAAATGAGTGTTAATCTTTATGTGGATTTACCAGTCTTTAAACAACACATTTTCAAAAAATCTCACAAACCCATTCCAAAGACTTAATTAGTAAGAAGGACTCTCTAGAAATGCTTTATTTTCAAAAATAAGGAGATTATCTGGAAGAATGCTCCAGAATTTGCTATATGACAAACATTTCTCAACAGCAAGGTCCATTAATTGTTACAGTCGGTCCATTTCCTCAGGAAAGGCTTTGGTTTCTTCAGTCTTATGTATCTGTTTTTCAGTTCACCAAATGGGGTGAAAATTTGATCAGAATGAAGTTATTAGAACTTTGGGATTTTCTTCATTGTCCATTGAATCTCTTGTTTTTCTCCCAAATCTGAACCTGAAAGTAAGATAGGTGCTAAAGAGAATTAAATATTCAAGATTCTCTTCCTCAAAATGCCAACTGACACTGAAAAACATTTTTCCAGTCAATGAATAAGTAATTATTTTAACTTTAACAAGAACTTCAGAAATCTAGAATTGGTGTTTAATGTTTTAGAATATTTGGAGCCACTTTCTTAATTAAACGTGAACAAAATCCAGAATTTACACTCTTTTATAGTTTCCCTGAGGAAAAGATAGAGTGGTAAGAATGAAGTTCTTAGCAAATTAAAGTTGATACTGGAGTAGTTGTATGATTAGAAGAAAACAGCTTATCAAAAATGGGCACTTTGTTTGTATTTCTCTTAAGGATCAGAATCCATTCATGTGCAGACTTATTTTTATTATGGCTGGGCACTAAAATCACATTACCTTACATAACCTTACAATGGCCATAGGAACTATCCCCATATGACGGATAGGAATACTGAAGTTTAGTGAAAATTAAGTTTTGCCCGGAAAATTAAATTAGCCCAGGTTTATGCAGATTTGGGATTTGAAGCTAGGCAGTTTCCTTCTAGAATCTAAACTTCTCCTATCATACCGCTTATCTTTTAAATGTTTGCCAATCTGTGAAATCATAGAAAGATATTCAGTTTTTGTCCCCGTTCCCAAAAGAGAGCTCTTAAATTCTTTATAATTTCCTGAATGATATGGGTAATAGGAATATTTTGTCTTTTGTTCTGATGAAGCAAATTTTGGCTGTCACCCACCCCCACCCCAAGATAACAGGATGGGGGCTGGTTGTCAAGCCTTGAATTGAAGCCTGGAACTTTCACCCCACCCCTCAACTTCCGTGGAGGGAGAGAAGCTGGAGATTAAATTAATGATCGACCATACCTATGTGAAGAAACCTCCAAAAAACCCCCTAAACGGTGGGGTTTGGAGAGCTTCTGAATCAGCAAACACATCCATGTGCTGGGATGGTGGCTCTTCCCATCTCCACAGGGACAGAAGCTCCTGCACTCTGGACCTTTCTGGACTTCACTCCATGTGACTCTTTATCTGGCTGTTCATTTACATCTTTTATGATAAACTAGTAAGCACAGTGTTTTCTTGAGTTTCGTGAGTCGTTCTAAAATTACCAAATTTCATGCAGGAGGAGGGTTTTGGAAACACCTGACTTTGTAGCCAAGTTGGACAGAAGAGTGGATCACCTAGGGACCTGATATTTGCAATTGGCACCTGAAGTGAGGGTGATCTTGGGAGACTGAGCCTTAAACCTGTGGAATCTGATGCAGACAAACTCCAGGTAGTCAGTGTTAGAACCGATTATATTATAAGACACCCAGTTGGTGTCAGAAGTGATTGATTGATACCACAAGGAAACCGGCCCCCCTCCCCCCACCCCGCACAATCTCATAGGCCAAAAGAATATTACTGAATTGTTTATTTTATATATTTCTATTAATGTGAATGAGCATTTTTCTTTCATATATAATCTGCCACTGAATTTTTTTCTGTAAACTGCTTGTTTATGACCTTTGCCAGTTTTCCTACTAAGTCGTTCGTCTTTTTTCCGCTGATAACTAAGAGCTTTTTGTGTATTGGGTGTGACAGCCCTTTGTCAGTATGGTGTGTTGCAAATATTTTTCCCCTGCTTGTTGACCTTTGTCTTTGCTTACGGTGCTTTTTCTTGCTGTGCCAATAATGTCTAAGATTACATAATCAGATATACCAATCTTTTCCTTTATGGCCCTTTGTTTTTTATATCGTGCTTCTCTAAAGTTGTAAAAATATTTATATTTTTTTCTGATACATTTTTGATTTTACATTTTAAGGCTTCAATTTTTAATCTTTCGGGAATTTATCTGGATGTATTTTGAAGCAGGATTCGAGTTTTTATTTATCCAAAATGGCTAGCTGAATGTTCTAACATCTTTTACTGAATAATCTAATGTTTCCCTACTGATTTTGAATTGCTACTTTTTATCATGTACTGAATCCTCACATTTTTCTTGAGTTTAATTCTGAACTCTCTTCCAGTGATGTCTAGTCCTGTGACATCAGCACACTGTTAGTAACCATTGCTTACTTTATTACCTATATTAGTGACTCTATGGAGAAACTTCCTGGCCATTCTTGCAAGTTTATTCTTTCTGAGGAATTTTGGTATTATTTTTTAAAGTTCCACTTACCATTTCACTTTTTGCATCTGCTCTAAGGTCTCTGGTAGGGTCATTCCAAAACTTTCAGGGAAAAACAGGGTGACGATTCCGATCAGGACTGTCAGGCTGCCCATGAGGATGTAAGGCAGGACTCTGTTGTAAGCACCTGCAGGGCACAGCACATATGACATCATTTAGATACAGGGATTCTCCGGCTGCTCTCAAGAATCACTGTGTAAAGGTGGCAAACGGAATTTGAGAGCAGTTTTGAATCTGAACATTTTCAGAAGTTAAAAAGTATGCAAAACACAGTTTCTTTCCGGCAGATGCCACTGCCTCTGCATTCCCTTAATCATTTACCTACTTGATTTTGCATTATCAGGAGGTCCTTCATGTCAACTAGCATTCTCCAAGCTACTGCTTAATTACATGTGACAGATGTTCCTTCGATAGAAACCTTTGCCTAGCAAAGTTCTCCCCTGAAGCAGGAGGTAATTAGAGATGAGGGTAAGGGGACACCAAGAAGAGAGAGGCTGACCAGGATGTTGCAGCGACATTATGGCTGGTTTGACCTTTGTTTTTGCCCAAACCAACAGGCCGCAGTGGAAGGAGGCTAGTTCCACAGAGTTGCGAGACTCTAAAAAAGGCTAAATAATATGTTCGATCTAATTTAAATCAATAAATGTCAGGCACTGTGAAAACACAGTGCTTTGGTTTCTCTTTGCAGCATTTATAAATCTTGGTTTTATATGTAATTGGAAGAACCACCCCACCTCTCCTTTATATAGCATCACTCAGGAGAATAATAGATCCTCACTTTGCTTCTCTTATGCATATGACAGGAACAACACATCCAAGAATTTTATTCGACAAAAAAAAAAACATCAATCCTGAAGCTTCTCTGAGGCCTCTGTGTCACTAACAGGAGTAGCAAGTGTGAAATATAAAGCTCTGTCTTGGACTCTTCCATTTATTTATTTTTTTTTATGTACCAGTGGACCCCCACTAAACCATATGAGCATGGTTTGAAAGTATAGGGAAGAAAAGAGGGGAAACAACACCATTCTGTACAATAATGTGCTTTCTCAGGCTTTGTTCAGGGCAGCTGTGAAGAGCAGGTTTAAGATAGGATCATGTTTCTCTTCTCTGGAAGAGATGAATGTACCTTTTCTGAGAATTCATATTTGTGTGTGTGTGTGTGTGTGTGTGTGTGTGTGTGTGTGTGCATGTGTGTGTTTGGACCACTAGGTAACCAGTGGATGACCAGGAAGAATGAGGCGGTATGTCAACATCACTCATCAGTAGAGTCCGTAATGAAGATCAGGCTCGAAGCACCAGATCCTACATCCAGTGAACATCCCACTAACGCCCCTCTGGAGTGTTAGTCCAGACTGGTAAATTTGATTTAAAAACTAAAATTTCCCGCATTACAAAAAATCTCATAAAGTCAAAATGTAAATGATAAACTAGGAAAAATGTTTACAACATGTACAAAAAGCTAATTTCTTTAGATTATAAAGACCTCTCATGAAGCAAAAATAAAAAATTGAATAAACCATCAGAAAGATGGGAACAAGACATGAAAAGTCAGGTCACTGAAAAATAAAGAGTGTCAATAAATACATGAAAAATGCTCAACCTCATTCATAATTAAAGAAATGGAGATGAAAGCAACAATTATATCCATTTTTCACGTAACAGATTATCAATGATTAAAAAATTGAAAAATCCTCATTGTTGGTATTGATAGTTGAATCGTAAATTGGTACAAGATTTAGAGGTCAGTTTGGCAATATCTATGAAATTTTTTGGTTGCCCCTTCAATCCATGAATTCAAATATATATAATCAAATAAACGAAGGGTGTAAGGGCATAGAGAAAATGTTCACTGTAGTATTATTTGTAATAACAAAAATCTGAACATGGTCTAAATGTCCATCCATTGAGCCTAGTTAAATAAATTAAATATATACATACATTGGAAGACTAGATATTGACTAAAAAGGAGGTAAAAGAGCTATGTATACACCAATAAAGATATTCTAATTCAATGTTAAGTTTAAAAAGTTGTGAAACAATATATATAATTTTGTTTGTGTATTTTTAAAATATATATACACATATATATGTTGTGCAAAACAAAATATCTGAAGGGCTACTCACCAAAATGTTAATATTAGTTACTATTAGGGCCATGATTTGAGGAGCTGAGGGGGAAGAGGTGAACTTGTACTTTTTCTAGTACTTTCTATGCTGTTTGAGTTTTTCACCATGAAAACCCATTACTTTTATATTTAAATTGATAAGATGCTTCTCACCGAGGTACACAAAGTAGGGAGCGATGATGCTGCCCACTCTGGAGGCCATGGATGTGATCCCCACGGCCATGTTCCTGACCAGGGTTGGGTAGAGCTCTGCAGTGAAGACATACAGCATGGAGAAAGCAGAAGTGACTCCGAATTTTCCTAACATCACCAGACCAATGGACAAGAAGTTGTAATCTGGAAAAGAGACACAGTGTAAACAGAAGTGTGATATATTTTAGGAGTGATATATTCTTAACTCAGTTGCTTTTATTGTCTTTGCTGATGTGAAAATGTTTTTATAATGTAAAGTTATTCCTCAAATAACACTCTCCCTTCGAATGTCTTAATAATCGACCTGGACAAGATAAGAGTTAATCTAGATCATCATGCATTCAGTGACCTTTGTCCACTTTTATTTGTTACAACAGTTTTATGGTAAGTTGTTGGCTTGTTACTATAGTTAAGCTTAATCTTCAAAGAGAAGGACCCATCCTTTCTATCCTGTTTCTTATTATTAAGAAATTTATATTTCTATATATAATACTAGGTATCTATAACCGATTACCTTAACATTTTAATAATATGAGAAAGTTAGACATAAGGGAAGAAGGGAGGCATGTGTTCCTTTGTGTGCCCATTAATTACTCAAACATTACAGACCATAAAAAGTCACCGAATTTGTACTGGAACTGGCATGTACTGCCAACTCTAACACTTGAGTATACACCTCAGAGAAAAGGTTTGGTAGTATCAAGAAAGTACCAAGAAATTTGGAAGCAGGGTTGTGACTTAAAGAAAGAGGTTCCAGGGTTTAGGTGAATGTTTCCATGAAGGAAACCACTGGACTCTTCCTCTTTGGGTGATGATTTCCGATTCTCCCAAGCTGACTCATCTGCTTGAGGGGTGTTGTTTTGAACACAGAAAATTACATAGTGAGCTATCATTTGTCTAATTGACTAATGAATAGATTATGATGTAATCTATTAAACTACATAAACATGGAGCGATGACCAATAATTAAATTAAATCAAGGTGTAGATCTTTTCCCTTAAGCTGTCAGTATTGGTTAACTTCTTACCTGCAGGTACCCACTGAATTAAGAGAAGCACACCTCCTCCGAAGAACAGTACTCCAGCTATGATATAACGCCTGGGCAGGGTTCGCAGGAGCAGCCAGGCTGTAATGTAAGCTGGAACTTCAATCAAGGCAGAAAGGAAACAGTTCAGATAGGCATCTCCATGTAAATTAGGAGCGTTGAGAGACAGAGCGAAGTAACCCACCGAGGTGAGCATCCTGAAAGACAAAATTAAAAACACAAAAATGACAAAAGGATAGCATGAATCACTCAAAAAGTTCATAATGGTCAAGAAATTGTCTAGATTTATTTTCCTATCAGTAGCCACTAACCACACATGGTTATTTAAAAGTAAATAAAAGTAAATATAATCAAAGAGTCAGTCCTATAGTTGCACTAGCCACATTTCAATTATTTAATAGCCACGTGTGGCTAATGGCCACTATGACAACACAGATGTCCATCATAAAACATTTTCATCACTGCAGAAAGTTCTTTTGGACAGCACAAGTCTAGGAACACCAGTATGCAACAATACTTATCCTGGTCTAGTTAACTTTACATTTCAGTATTACCTGAACAGTTAGTACATCCTCATTCCCTTATTTAAAGAAAGAATGTCAGCCACATCAGTGGACATAAAATCCACTTAATTCTTACCAAAAAGAACAAAAAATAGAAAGAAAAAGAAAGAAGGAAAGAAAGGAAAGAAGGAAGGAAGGAAAAAGATACATAGGTAATACAGTGGGATCCAATTGATTTTAGTAAAATCAATTAAATTTTACAGTAAGTCTCAATTGATTTTATAGTAAATTCCAATTGAGTTTAGTAAAACTCACTTTAGGGAAAAGAATAAAAGTCACATAATGCTTCAAAGTATCACAAAGTACACACTGCATGTCCTGTCATCATAGTTAACTTCCACATAACCTTCTCTGTGGAAAATAAGTACGTTATTGCAGACTCCCTTGAGCAGAAATTAGTTTATCATTTATTAAAAATTTTCAGTTACAGATGACATTCAATATTATGTTATGTTAATGTCATTCTCATTATTAACATGAATGAAAAGTAGAGGATATCTGAAAAATCTTTTCGGGAACACTGTTGGGTATTTCTATACAAAACTCTATGTTGGGTAGCACAAGGGCTAATCCAAAACAAAACAAAAAAAATTAAACTTTCTTGCTCTAGGAATCTTAGTGATTTTCACCTGTGGTAATAAGAGCAGTTTAGGCAAAACAGGATGGCCCTAAAAAAAGACTAGCTGCAGTCTGAACCGAGTAGTTATGATAATCATCTTTTTTGTGTGTGCTGCCATCATGGAGTAGGTATGTTCTTTTTTCCTTCTTCCTCATTTCTTGGCAGATCCATTACTAAATCTAGTCTACAAAGTCAATTTATGCCTTAAAATCACTTGGTAGTTTGCAATTAGCAAGTGTGAAAAGCTTGTCAAAACTCCAATCCTGGCCCTAGGGGTTCAGGTTCTTCTTACCTCACTGTTCAATTGCCAGTACAGCTTCAGGAAGCAGGACCTGAATTAGGATCTCGGCTTCAGGCACCAGGGACATCATTACTGGGACATAATCCCAGTAACTTTAGGAGGGTCAGAATACTGCAGACTTTAATATTGTTCCCTGTAACTTTTTTTTTTCTTTCAGTTCTCAGTTCCATGAAGTGAATTGAGGCATTTCCAAAGAACTTAGAATTTTATAATTTTTATTTTGTTTCAGGAAGACCCAGGCCTTGCCTGGATGTTCCCTTAAATTCAATAAAATCGGTTGTATGCTTATGTGCTATATGTCACACTTCCAGATCGCTTATTACTTACCATAGCAGCACAGACATAATGGTTATTGTGGAAATATTCCTAGTCCTGAACAGGTCCAGAATGAAAACTGTCTGCTGCTCCAGGGGTTTTAGCTCCTGTAGCTAAAATAATGCAAATAACCATGAGATTAAGGGATAACGAGGAAGTATCTTTGTCCATGACAACATGGAAAAAAATTTATGCATATAACTCTTATTTCACCTTGAATGTTCTTAGAAGTCTGGAATCTGTGGGGAATTAGGGTGTCTACATATACGATGCATAATTCTAACACTTTAAAATGTTTGTGGCGCATTCTAGACAGCAGCTTTTTAAATATATAACATTGCCTCCACTGTTCCTTTATAGAAAGCCTAACTGCTAGCATAGCCTTTCCTTGACTCATGCTCATCATTGTGGGTGACCTGAATGACACTGAGCTGTGACACTTAGGGCTTGTTGCATGGATAGGGCCATATAGCCCCACGCTGCCTTGAGGTCCCTGCTTTTTGTACTTTTCTTGTTGTTGTTTCAGTGTCAGGACAGACTTGGGTTACTATTTATCCTCTCTGAGCCTCCATTTACTCCTCTGTAAAATGGGTATAATAATTGGGAGTTGAGAAGATTAAATGAGATCATGTATATAAAGCTTAGTATCGTACTTGAACTATGGTAAATCCCCAAAACATTTAACTATTATTATTTCTACTGCACCACTGAGGAAACAATGCTAGCTGTCAGTGGTGAGTGATCATTTCTTACTTCTGTGAATGGGCTTCCCTCCTTTCCTCTTAATTTACTGAAGTTAACTTGTCATATGTTAGGAATCGAGATAACCAAGCTTATTAGAATCGAAACTAAAAAGCTCCAAGGCTCTGAGGTGAGGAATCTCTTTGGGATAAAGTACAAGGACTTTGTGGCCCTCTGGTGTGTAGGCAGTAAGAGGGTGAGGAAAGAGATTCCATGATGAAAGAAGTGAGGTGCTGGCCCTGTTGTTGTCACAGGTGTTCCCCAGATAATAGCATCCTTCTTTCAGGAATAATCATACACCTCCTCACGCAGCACACAGGCATATTACCTTGTTTCTTCTACACTATTTGGGGTGCAGCTCTACTGTTATGACAACAAAGCAAAGCCCCTGTATAGCTGAGGGAGCTAGAAGTCCTCCTGGAGGGCTCTGGAGGTGGCACCATGCACAGATGGAACCTGCGGGTCAGGCCCATGCTAACACTTGGTGCTTCCACAGGGCCCTTGTGAAAATGCAGACTGCGAGGTCCCACCCCAGACCTGCTTAATCCAAATCTTTCCTGGAGCCCGGAGGCCTGGAAATCTGTATTTTTAAAGCCCTTTGGGTGATTGTGATAAGCAGTCAGGTTTGGAAACCTCAGGACAAGAACATTCTTGTACCCACTGCTTGTCTCTGGCCTACGAAGGGCCACCAAAATTCCTCGGAGCAGGTACCACGAGCTGGTTGGAGGTGTTCTGAAGGGAAGTCAGAGAAGTCCGAGATTGCTTTCCAAGATGAAACTTTTTTAGATTCTTTCCTGTGTAAGTTAACACCACTGCCCCCAACACCAGGTAAGGAGGCCCAGTTAAGCGCTTGCACCTTGGCACTGGAGAGACCCGTGAGACATCTAGCTGTGTGATCCTGGGCAAATCACTTAACTTCTCTGTATCTCAGTTTCCTCTTCTGAGAAATGGGCCTATAGCCAGTATGAGCATCAAATGAGCTGAACCTGGTGCCTGGCAACTGGTGGGCTCTCCACCATCATCCTGAGTGGGCCGCATGTGCTGGCACAGGCCTCTGCAGATCCTCCCAAAGAAGACCCACCTGGGAGGTGAGCAGGGGAGATGACTAGGCCTTGGGAAGCACAAGCTCCCTTGCCCGTGGAGGGTCTGTCCAGTTAGGTTCGATGCGCCTCATGGCAGGAAGAAACAAGGCACTGTCAGAAGCACGTGTTTTGACACTAGACTTCATTCTTATTTAACCAAAATGATATATCCTTTATAGGTTTTGTGATTGCATTTATCCATGTAAGTCTGATCTCTACAATTAAACTTTAAGTTCCCCAAAGACAGAAATCAGACCACATATTCAATAAATATCAATAAACATCCAGCACAGCCTGAGATGCAGACGTGTTAGACAGACATGTTAACTAAGATTAGTTAAACTAAGTTTAACGTTGTTTAATTGAGTCTAGTTAAACAGACTTAGGCTGGGAATGGAATTCTTGATCCAAAGAGAGAAGGATTATGAGATATTTGTACTGGCAGTCCTCTGAGAGCTTGGGTTCATGGCCACGGTAATTAATCCTCCAGCCGTTGCCAAGGTATCTGCTTCTGTCAAAAGTCCCAAATGCCAGGAATGGAGGAAGCCTCGAGGTGGAGCGCTGGCGTGCCTGCCGCCCTCCTTTCTGGGGTAGCCAGAAAGCGCAGATTTGCGTACTGTTGCTGCAGACACCCTAATCTCCTCGGGGTGTCCTGAGCTGCCCCCGCCCTGTTGGGAATGCCCTGCCCAATCCTCTTCATTCATGTAAGTGTAAACCCTGGTTTGGACCTGCCCCTTCTGCCCCGAGTCACTCTGCTTTCTTTCTCTGCTGGCACACAATGTCCACTCCTTGGGTCCTTAGCATTTCCTCCCTCACGTCATCATTTATTTTTCATCTAATGCTCCTGACACCCTTTGTTACATTCCATGCTCCTTCAGCATAGGACCTGTGTCTGATTTTTTTCATTTTCTCTGAGAGCTGGTACAGGGCAGGGCCAAGTCCTCGCTGAAAGGGCAGCTGCTTCCATAGCATATCAGCTTCTCCTCGTGGCCTCCTGCTTTTGAGGATGAATTCTCTGCCTGTGCTCTCAACCTGAAGTTTGTAGATACCACGTAGCAAAACTAAAGACATTTATAGCTTCCTCAGCAGGCTTTGGTAAGACTCAGGGTACAGTGGGGAGCTCATGGGTTGAATAGCCCTCAAACACATTTTTTCTACTAAATCTGGACTTTCAAAAATCGCCAGTAAGTAGCTATATCAGTGATATGTAGCAATCCCAATAAAAAGTTGGAGATGAACTTACGAAAAGGAAAGGAACAATATTGAGCCAACACTTGCTCTACACTAAGCAGTTTATATATATCATTGCACTTAATGTGCATGCAGCCCTTTGAGGTGGGCTTTATCTCAGAACTTAATCATCATTGTGTCTCTAAGGCTTCGTATGGAGCCTGGTACATAGTGGGCACTCAAAAAATATTGAATTAAATTAAATTCTATAAAATCGAGAATACATAGCTGATCTAAAGAGGACATTTCTACACATGCTTACCTCCATAGGATCGAAAATCACAGCTGGAGCAGCTACGTTGTTCATTTTTGCAGCTTTTTGGATGATAGCTTCAGCCTCTCTAAATCTTCTCTGGGATATCAGCCACCGGGGAGATTCAGGAATAAACCTAGAATTCATTTTTAATGGTTTATGATTTTTCACAATAGCAAGGTTTGATGCTATTAACTGAAAGTTGCCTCCCAAAGAATTTTTATTTTATAAAATTCCAGTTTGTCTTTTTTTAAAAAAATCAAGGGGAAGGCCTCATAAGATTTCCATTGATTATAAAAATAAATACAATCACTTTCAAGTTTCAAAGTTCTGATCAAATCACAAGACTGATCATCAGTTGTATTTGAAGCCGGGAGCAGAGTGTAAGGGGTAACATTAGCTGTAGGTGTGTTTAAGGCAGAACAGCTAAAGAAGGCCATTCAAAACTTAACAGCCAGTGTGGTTCATAATAGAAACACAGTCTAGTGTCTTTTCCGTGTGTCCATCCCAGGAGAATTCCTGGTGGCCCAGCGGTGATGCTCACAAGATTATTGTGCCAAGGATGGCTGGGCATGCGTGTTCCCTGGGCTTTCTCCGCAGTCAGAGGAGAAGGTGAGTACACTGACTGTCCCGTGGGCTGTCCCCTTGGCTTTCAACAGATTTCCAGGTCAGTGGGTAACCAAACCAGTTTTTGGGAGACAGCCAATGTTGTCTATGTTTCTTTTTAATGTCTGGGAACTTAATTTGTTTTATTATGCAATCTATCTACATTTTTAACTGATGTTCAAAGACAGTTGACTTCTTTCCTAATTTTCCTATTTTTCCTACTTTCATTTATTTTTATCATACTTATATTTATTTCTATTCTTCTATTCTTTCCTAATTTTGACTTCTTGGAATCTCTTAGTCATTTCTGCCAGCTCTTGTTTTCCTTACTTATTTGTCAGTACTTAGTTATCGTGGAAAATAAATTCCACGTAGCACATACTGAGTGTCTTATACTTAACAGCCCCTCCAAAGCCTCTATAGGAAGGACGTCAGAGTAAAACACAATGTATCAAATGGCCAACCCCCAGCTACCTGCCCAGTCTACTAGCAAGCACATGGGTTGAAAAATGAACCCAGTTTGCGTTTTTCGGAATATGCCTTTAGTTGACCCCTTTAGCAACTGTGATGATGTCAGGTCACAATTTTCAGTAATTAGAGCTACGCTGTCCAAGAGAACTTCCTGTGGTGCTACATCCGTGCTGTCTAATACGGTAGCCGCTAACCGTTACATGTGGCTATTGAGCTAGTGTGACTGAGGAAATTAATTTTAAATTTTATTTACTTTCAATTCATTTTACTTTAAATAGGAGCATGTGACTAGTGGCTACTGTCTTAGTGAAGAATTCGAGGCCTTATCACATAGCCACTGTATACATCATGGGCACTTCTGCTGGGCAGCTCATCTTTCCCCAACCAGGTTGTTCTTAGAAATAGCCTGCCTTTCTTACTACAGGCTCTGAGGGCCATCGGTGGCCTCGGGTTCCTAATGTTTAGGCAGTTAGATATTGCAGAGCTGTCCCCATGTTGCATCTATGGGCTCTTTCTCCACCTCCTGCATACATATTCCATTCACACCTGTGGCTACTTACTGCCAAAGACTTCAGGACCTAAAAAAATCTCCAAACCACCTACAGTGGCTCTGTGTAGGATCCCCTCCCATCTCCAGCCCAGGCTTGCTGTAATCTCTACTCTCGAATTGCCATGGGTTTTTGGTAGATGAAGAATCAAGTCTAGCTGATCATTTCAAAAGTTATTGGAGCACTAAATGATAGCCTCTCTGTAGGTTTAATTCAGATTAAATAGGGTGGCATGTTGCTGGAGAGTCTAGGTCACACATTGAGTAGGCAGCAGGAGCAAGGAGCCCAGCAGCCTGAAGCGTCCCCCACATCATCCCAGCCCACCTGGACTACTGAGCATCTATCTCTTCAGGATGGCCCACCCACAAGGACAGCCCATTCAGAAGAAAGTGGTTTTGTTTTTATAGAAAAATTATAAGCCTGTTGCTAACTTTTCAGGATGAGCATGCAGCTTGTTAGTGCTGGCCCCGGGCCGCCTAGTGTTTGGGGCAGTGCCGTCCCTGGAACAGTGTGCCCGCAGCCAGGAGCACTCATAGACCAGCCTGTGGGCAGCAGAAGGAAGAACTCTCCTTAGGGCAAAACTGAGGCCACTCCTCATGCGATGGGCCTTCCATGCTGGAAACTCAAGGGGCTGATGTAGCAGAGTTGTTCCTTGCTGTGCCATTTGGTCCTGAGGCAAAGATCCAAGCCCCACAAATTAAAATCCCTACTAATCTCTTATGGTCATCAGAACCCTTCTATTTTTATTCTCTCTCTCTCTCTCTCTCTCTCTCTCTCTCTCTCTCTCTCTGTCAATCTGACCGAATTATACATTAATAAGTTTGATTACAACATATTTTAAAGGTTATGGTCTCTTATGCCAAAAGGACAACTAGAGCCAGAGAATATCAATTATTAAAATCATTCACCTGAAGAGATAGAAAATAACCTTTGAATAATCTTGTCTTGTGTCTTAAGAGAGCCTTGGGTCTCCAACATCATTTACCCTAAATATGGTTAGCAAGGGGGTTATGAAGACAGGGACAGAATGTGTGATGATGATGATGATGATGATAATGATGGTGACTCTCATTCCAGAAAGTTGCCCCACTCTTGTAAATCAGGGCTGCTTGCTTCTCTTGGAGGCAGAATATAGATAATAGCCTGCCCTCGTTCACTGTCAGCTTTCCTGACCTTTAGATGGTTCCAGAGGAAACCTCTAAGTCAGAATAGTAGCTAATCTTTAACTCGCTGACTTTCAAATTCCATGGAAGTAAGGGAAAAAAAAATGTGCTCTTCATCCTGCACACCCCCGCCCCCCCGCCTGCACAGCATTGCCAAGAATTTATACTGGTAAACCATAGCAGTCTTAGGGGGTCATAAAAAAGACAGTGGCTTGGAGTGGTCCAACCTGAGCCATCTGGTCCAACAAGGCCACGACGTGCTTGCTACCTGTCAGCCTGTATGGCCGCTGGACACTTGCAGCAAGATAAGGGACCTTCTAGGCAACTTTCCAGGAAGTGTGGCCAAAGGCGGGGAAACCATGAGGACTAGTCTAAACTGTGAGTTGCAAAAAATGATCAAAGAAACATTCATTGTGTGTAAACAGGTAAAGATCAAGCAGTTCAGTAAAACCAGTCACTGTTGGGAGATCTGATTCACATATCATGAAACCAAACCAAAAAGAATTAATGAGAGAGAGAGAGAGAGAGAGAGAGCGAGAGAGCGCGCGAGCGAGAGCGAGTGCGAGCACGCGCGAGCGAGCACACCAGACCCATCAGTGGAAGAAATTCTCTTTCTTCTTGCTTAAATATGAAAAAAACCAAGAAATGGGAAATCCTCAAAAAAGAGGGTATCACTGGGACCTTATTCCCTTATTCTTAATCTGGTCTCTCACCTGAAATCTCCCCCATAATCATACTGGGTTAGTATCTCCAGACTTTGTTATTCCCATACTGATGTGTCGAAATTGGGTTGGAGGGTTGAGGGAGGAGAGAAGAGAACGTTCCTCTAGCAACTTGTTAAATAAAAGTAATTCTTTTGCCCTTCTGAACAAAGCAGATAAACAGGCACACCTTAGATGCTTGAGGAAACTACATTAGTTGAGTCCATAAGGAGAAAGAGATTTCCTAGAGAGGAGTGTCAAAAGAGTAGGGGAGTAGAGTTAAAAACAACACAGCTCGAGACTACCGTCTCCACGAATAACCACCGACAGCAGATAAGAGTGGGGAGAGCCTAGGAGAGCCTGGATTTCCTGAGAAAGGTGCTTTGTGGGACAGTGAAGAATTAAACCCCAGCACACAGGCCCACCCACAGCTAGGCAAACACTCTGTAGGCTTCGAGGCCAGTCTCAGCCAGCTCCAGTGAGATCATGCTAGAATTAGTACCAGGCTCTAGGCTCCAGGCTGGCTGGCCTGCAGCAGGGGGCTGTCTGGGGCCGAGCCACACTCACCACCACAGCGGGACGCACAGCACCCCCGGCACCGTCAGCGCCAGCAGCAGCATCCGCCAGTCTCTGATGAAGTAAGCAAACAGTGGCAGCAGCATGTAGCCGAATGCATAAAATATGCACACTCCTAACGTAGAGAATATAATACGAACTGACTTGCCAAGAATTTCTGTTCCTGTTCAAAACAAGGGAGGAGTATTAGCATTTTAGCTCACTTTAATATTTGCTTTTTACATCATTACCTGGCGGTTAGAATTTAAACTATAGCCACTTAGAAAAGGGAAGAGGCATTTGCCCTGTGGCCCAGGGCAGGAGTGGTCAGGGTGGAGGAAGGTGGGAAGGGACCCAAGACTTATCACCTTATAGAAGGTAAATTTCATGAGATTTTAAAGGAGCCGAAGATTTTTTTTTAAGGTCATTTCATGTCATAGAAATAGCATGCCCAGCCCCAAGAGGTAATCTCTTCTGTGAATGTCACATTTCCAAAATCAAGAGCCCCAGGGTGAGGAGCAGAGAGGGTGTTCCAGGAGATGGGGTGGGGGTGTCTTTTGGGGGACTCTGTGGGGTCATGGTGCATTTAACCTTCCCTACAATTCTCCACTATATATAAACAGACTCTGGCCTCTGGGGAAACACTGCACAGTTCACAGTTACTCGGTCATGTTAGCCACCCTTAAGCCCTGAGACATGATTAATTAGGGCTCTGGAGAGGCACAGAGCAGCGCCCCCCCCCCCGCCCCCAGTGCCTGGGGCTGAATACCCCGCAGCCACATTGTGCCCAGGGATCAGCCGCAGGCTGTCACAGTACATTCAGACCAAGGAAAGAAAAGAAGGGGCCGTCCTGTTGGCCTGGCAGGCGGCAGCCCTGGAACTGGCCACATGCCCAACGAACCCCACAGAGTTTTCCCAGAAACAAGTGCTTGGTATTGGGCCCTGTTTGGGGAAAGGACAGGCAGGTGGCTGTCGGGTCCTGCTCTGCTCAGCACCACAACGGGTGGCTCAGGCCCAGCCCAGTTCCTCTAGAGGCACTGCCTGCCCCGCGGAGTCTAAGAACAAGTTCATTCTCTTGCCACAGAGCTCCAGGCCCCTTCCACAGAGTCCGCTCTCGGTCCTCTGGCCCAGGGGCGGAGATCTGGCCAATGGCAACCGCTCAGCCTTTTGTCTGAGATCTTCCCACCACCACAGAGAAGTAGTCCAGAAAATACAAAACAGACCATTCAAAGGCCATTCAGGCTTGTCTTTCAAGAGAGATTTTCTCACTTGTGTTTGCGTGCCTTGGGCACGGGCTAAGGAATTAAGGGCTAATTCCAGAGACGCAGAAAAATTACTACCTCACCAGGTTCTCATTCTCACAGCCTACCTGTTCCTATCCCACCTCTCTTCTTCCTCACTCAGCATAACTGAGAGACGGATGGGCTCCCGTGGTTCCCTCTGGAACAGCCATTTCTAACAGCCAGTACTATGTGCCTCTCGCCTCCCAGGCTGCAGATGATAGCCCCAAACATGCCTGCCATTGCCCAGCCTCTAAACCCGTTTCCAAGGATCCGGCCTGACTTCCTCGAGGATTGTGAACGTAGTTTCCAGATCTTTTCTTATCCCATTAATGACCTTCCTTCCACCCCATAGGGAAGACTCCCCATGCCACAGTTTCTCAACATGCGGGCTGTGATCATCACGGTGTGGGAATGAATGGGGGAGGGGGAGGCTTTACTCTCATGCAGAGATTCAGAAGTGAAGTAGCAGAGGATTTGATTGTGGACAAGGGAAAGTGCACAGGATCACGTGAGAACCTTATAGTTGTGAGGCCAAGGGAGCTCCCTCAGAGTTCCATGACCCCGGTAAGACAGACAGGCTACACTAGATACCTAGATCATCTTCCTCGCTAAGCTTGGGTCCTAGGCCGAAACAGAGTTGTTCTTACCTTGCAGAGCAGCCATGATGGACAGGGCTTTATGAACCTACCTCTCTGCCTTTCTGTGGAGCAACATGAATGACATGAAACTGAATAGTTCCTTGTTAGCTCAACTTTCTGCTCTCTCTGGCTTTTAGATAATCAATCATCTTTCCTTAACTGTCATTATCATCATCATCTATATCATCATCATCATCATCATATTCAGAGCTAGCGTTTTTTTGAGTAGGCACTTTGTGTCAGGTTCCAGACGAAGTGTTTATCTATATTATCTCTGTGAATCTTCGCACAATGATAGAAGAACTAATATTCTATTTTATACACAATCAGATGAGACTTAAAGAGTTGAACAAATTGCCTAAATTTACACACATCATAAATGGGGTAGCCAGAATTTAAGTCTGAACTGTTGGACCTATGGATAACGTCTAGAAAAAAATCATTTTGGAGGCAAAGCCTTGGCCCTGTCAAGCAGTCCTTCAACTGAGGTTCTAGTGGAGACATGTATGGGAGATGGATACAGCCATACGCCCGTCAGAGGTGAGGATTTTTGATTTCCCTGCCTGGGGTGGTCTTTGAGCCAACTGGAGAACAACAAACCCCCTCTGAGGAACGCCGAGAAAAGTCCTGATTCCTGTAGACCTTTTATAGCCTGTAGCTGCCACAAACTTTCCATGTCTTCAGCTGGCAGTGAGACAGGTGACAGTGGTGATTTATGGTTCTGCTGACTGGGGACCCCTGTCCTAGCCTACTTTACTCCCTTGGTTTCTGCTCCTAGGGCAAAGCCCAGTTGGTCTTAGTCTGGGTGGGCCTCCAAATGCCTCTTGAGAGTGAAACTCTGACATCTAAGCCAAAGGGGCAGGTCCTGGCCAGAGTGTTTGCCCACTGCCTGTCACCAGCAACTGAATCGGAGAGCTTTCTCCAAGAGGGAGTGACCCAGAGAGGGCCAGGCTCACTTCCACGTTGACCGGGGGCCCTTCTGTAGTAGTCATTAAAGGATCCAGTGAGGAACCACTGGATCTATTGCATGTGGAGGTAGGACCTGCTCCTCTGTGAATGACCAATAGGGCTGCAGCAGACCCCAGTCCAAGGAATAAGACCATGTGCAGTTCCCAGGATATGGGGTAGAACTCAGGGGCCCTTGGGCTAGAAGTAGCCCCATATGGCATGTGCAGAGACCCTAAGCTCCTTGATGCTCATTTGCTGCTAGAGTGACTTTGATAGTCCTACTTCATAAAGTTATTATTATGGGAACTGAGATAATGTATGTAAAGTGCCTAGTAGAGTGTCTGGCATTTGGTCAATGCTCAGGAATAGATAATTCCTTTATCCTGGTCAAACAGCTGAAATGTGCTAGATGTCAGGGGAATGATGGGAAGTGCCTTTGACCAAGAGACCCGCTGGAAGGTAGCAAAATCTCTCTTTGCACCCTGTAAAATACTCAGAATTCTCTTCAAATTAACAGACATTCCCCTGCTCAGGCCTCCCTCTCTCCCCTCTATAAACCTTTACAGATCATTCTAGTTAAGAATACCTTACCTATCTCTGCATAGACCCAGAAAGGTTATCTGCGCTCACCGTACCCCTGCCCCGACCCATGTAACCACCTTGGCTGCATCTGCTAACCAGATGTGAGCTCCTAGAACACAGACCGATGTGAATCTTTCCTCCTCCCTGAGTCTCCCTGCTCAGTGCTTCTCTCACAAGGTGCAGTGCAAACAAGGGACATAGACAAATTTCTGCATCCTTTAAAATGTATTTATACCCCATTTCATCCCTTGAAGATTTTGAGGTAGCTTATCACTTGGATACAATAACATAATAGTAGCATTAAAGTAAAACATAAAGAAAAGTTGAAAGGTATGTCTTGGAGAAAGAACAAAAATATGCAACTGATCACTTTGGAAAACAGTCTGGCGGTTCCTTACATGGTTAAACATACATTACCATATGACCCAGCAATTCCACTCCTAGGTATCTACCCAAGAGAACTGAAAATATATCCAGAAAAAACTTGTGCTCAAATGTTGATAGCAGCATTAGTCCTAATAGCCCCAACGTGTAAACAACCCAGATGTCCATTCACTGATGAATGGAGGAACAGGAGGTGGTATGTCCATACAATGGAATATTGATGCATATTCCAACATGGACCAACCTTGAAAACATTAAGTGAAGGACGCCAGTCACAAAGACCACGTATCGTATGATTCCGTTTATCGGAAATGTCCAGAATCGACACATTCATACAGATGGAAAGTAGATTAGCGGTTGCCAGGGGCTGGGGAAAGTGACTGCTCATGGTACAGGGTTTCTTTGGGGGTGAAGAAAATGTTCTGGAGTTAGATAGAGTTGATGGTTGCGCAACTTTGTGGATATACTAATAACCACTGAGTGATATACTTTAAAAGAGTGAGTATTATGGTATGCAAATTATATCTCAATTTAAAAACATTTAAAAAATATGTGGCTGATAAAGGCTGCATAATTGATAGAGTTAAATTTCAATTTTGCCTGAGCTTCCTGGTAGCCAGTGATAAGGGAAGATGCAATCAGTTACATACTTATCGAAAGGTAAAACACATCTAGACATTAGAGAAAGCGGAGCTTTAAACAGTTCAACATGCCGGAACAAATGCTGCATAGGAGGTCAGCGTTAGGAGTACTGGGAAAATACCGAATTAATGGATGAGTCAAGAGAGGAGGTAGGTAGGTGTGCGAAATAAATTTAAGCAGCTAGTTATGAGGGATAAAGGAGGACGCTGCTGGTACTTTCCCCAGAAGGCCGTGCATGGGCTGAAGGTATTATTTCTGGAAAATAGTAGGAGGTAGTGAGGGGAGCGAGAATGTGGGGAGGGTCCACGTCCTTGGTCCTGAATGGTCCCGTCCTCCTAAACCAGCGTCCTAAGAAAGGCAGCTCCCTTACTTTCAGGTGTAGCCATTTTATGTTCTTTTGGGTAGGACTGTTCCTTCCTTCCCTTTTCTCTCGTCTCCTAAACTCAGAGGAAGCAGAGCAAGGAAAGGATCCATTTCTGCACCACTTCGAGGATGGGAGTAATTCATAGAAGTAATTTCATTTCCTGAATTAATGTGAAGACTCTTAAACTGGAAATTATCATCGCAGAGTCTTGCCAACCCTTCCCTAGAGCCACAGGGCAAAGTGAAGGCCCAGAAAGAACAGTCCAGACCTCAAGCTTCTGTTTATTTTAGTCAGAACCGGGAGTTGATTGTTATAGCCCTGAAACACCAGAGAGCGCTGCCGGGCTGCAGGGAAGCCAGCCGCAGCACTGCCTGGACTGGCTCCACCCCACCCCACCCCACCCCACCCCATTCCAGGCACCGATGGCAGAGTCGCTGTTTCCAGGGAGCAGTTTGGTTTCCAGTGACTCTCTTAAAAAGGTTCAGACCTGAGAACTCAACACAAAGAATCTCCTACCGGGACACAAAGTCAGCAGCTTCCCACAGAGCACGAATGAGGAAAGGTGGAGCCAGGGTGGCTCCCTGAGCACCTTGCAACACTCCCGGGCCCAGGCTGATGGGAGCCACTGCACTCAGAGTCCCGCCCACTGATCGCTGGTTTGCACAGCTAGGCTCTGACTGATGTGACATGCCCTTACTCTCCCCTTGGCTCTCTCCCTTTTCTCAGCATGGGCAGCAGGGAGGGAGCAGCGTGTGGTGTCAGGGCCAGCAGGCAGGACTTTCCCACAGGAGGCCTGGGGTGGGCTCTCTCAGTCTCATTCACACAGGGGAGGTTTTAGGGGCCCAGAAGCACCATGTGCCACTGAAAAGGCAGAACCCAAGGGATGCCACGCATGGCACAAACCCCACCTGGCTCCCAGTCTCAATGACAAGCCTTCCCTGGCTTCACCATAACTTTCTGCCCTTCCACTTCAGATGGTCCTTTAGGTCCTCCTGAAGGAGTCTGCTGACCTTGGGCAGAGCTCTGTGTTTAGGGGAGGCCTGTTTAGTCTTTAGTGTGTCTCTGGCCCAAGCAGAGCCACACATTGGACCTTTCAGGTATCAGAGGGATCACCACAAGAAAGGCAGATTCCGGTGGATTTAGACCATGAGAACCATGAGATAGGCTTTGCTGTGCCCAAGAACTCTGTGTCCTTGGGGCCCATCAGACATCAGGAAGTTGCAATTTCTGTCCTAAATCTCTGCAATCTCCAGTTTCCAGCACCACTGGCCTGAAGCTCTCTGTGTCTTTGACACCCATGACCTTCTTTAAGAAAATTTCCCTCCCTTTCTTTTCCCTACCGGGGAGAGAGAGGCCCTGGTCCTGCTGGAAGCTGTGAAGAGGGTACTGTCCGCCAGGTCCATGTGGCTGCAGCATGCTCTACCCTCCTCCCCTCTTCAGACACTGAGGCTGGGCCCACAGCAAGGGTTTCTTTGCAAATGATTAAAGAAGTGGAATTTGAACAATTCCATCTTGGCAACCTGACATAGGGTGTACGCATCCTCAACTAAGAGAACACAGCATCTCCAGAGCTGATGAGTCATCCAGACTCCTAAGAGTGATCGGAATCATTTTACCACATTCAGCCTTGTGAGACAAGAATCATTAGACTTATATTAAAGGGACACTGCTAAGAATTACAGTATGACAAAAGAGATAAAGTGAGAAGCACCAAGCCCACAAGAATACATCATCACACTGGATATTATGAGATTTGGTGTCTATTGTCCCGGAAGTGCCTTTCGTCTCCTCTACTCTCACCTGTTCAGAGAGAGCAGGTGGGCTCAGAGCATGTTGGGGACTCTTACTCACATGGACTCCCTGATCAACCTGCCTGGGGTTCACCTCACTTCCTCCCAGGAAAAGTTGATGAGGGTTGTGGCCTTTAGCTTGTAAGGTCCCCTCATGTAGCGTGATATTCCAAAAGCAAGCTGTAGCTAGGAGACAGGACTACTATCAGCAGTTAGGCTGGTCCTGCAGGCAGCTGATATGCTCTGGGGGTGGGCTCTGACTCAGGGTGAGAGCAGATCTGCCCAATGATTGCAGGCTAGCACTGAACTCCCATCCGACATGTGCCTCTTCTACCTATATACCAGCCACACCAACTACCCCATGCATGGCTGCCAGGAACACCCTTTTGCCCTGTCCTAGGCAGAAGTCTTGAGTTTTCAGAGCTCAGATCACAGACATCCCTAGGCCATCTCGCCCCCAAGACCCCTCCTCTGTGCCTCTCCCAAGCCTTGTGCTCCTGAAATGTGTTTCAGTTATTATGTAGCTGGTTCCCACCAGCTCCAGCTCCTATTCACCACCGCATTTCAGCACCCAGCACAGAGCTGGCTTCCTGTGAGTGCCTGCCTCGCCCATGGCCAGATCAAAAAAACCTGTGGCTGCAGCCCCCTCACCTGCACATATGTCTGAGGCTGACCTGTTTGGGGAGCCCAGCCCATGGGTTGAGGTGCTCCCTTCCGTGCTGATTGAGAGCACTCCCTGTGCCCCTTTCAGTGGCCTTCTCTTCCTGGGCCTCCCAGGGAGTTGGACAGAGAAGTCCTGCAGGTCAGAAGCCATTCCTACCTAGTATGAAGGCCACCACGTAGTTGGAGATCTGGCCCATGCCAACGATGACAAATAACACAGTGAACATCTCCCAGTTGATGGAGAAAATCTGAAAGAAGCTGAAGCCAGTCTGCACAGCCATGGTTGAGAAGAGGATGCTCTTCCTGCCAAACCTGTAGAGTACAGCACAGGATGAAACATGACACGTGCAGGTGACAGCAGCGCTGCAGCTCAGGGCGTGCGGCAAACGCCGAGTCAGGTATTGCTGCAGATTGGTTTTTTTTCAGGGCTGTTACAGACTTTTTTCCCTGTCACATCCTCCCAGGTTCCTCCTTGGCGAGGCTTCAGGCATTCATCTGCCTAGGAAGGCTCTTTTGAGATCCTAAGCCTCCTGCGGAAGCACCATATCTTGACAGCCCAGAGCAGCTTAGGCAAGGACCATGAGGAAATCTCTTTAGAATGAGCCACGGGTAGAAGCTGCCGCCACATTTCTAGAAGGTGGGTACAGTACAGATTGCAGGTACATCTGATATCAGCAATGTGGGAATTCCCTGTACGTGTGGTCTTCAACCTGAGCTACGCTTAGAATCACCTGAAGAGCTTCAAAAAATACTGGTACCTGCACCATACTCCCAAGATTTTTATTGTCCAGAAATTGGTTTGGACCTTGAGATTTAAAAAATTTTCCTAGGTGAGTCTGATGTGCAACCAAAATTGCCAACCACCACTCTATGGGAAGTGTAGCTTACAGCGATGTCTATCAGTGACACTGTAGTTGGCTTAAGTCTTAATTTCACATTCTGATAGTGACCGATAGGAGGATGGAGTGCAGATGCGAGCAGCACAGTCTTCCGCCCCATTTTCCAAACTCAGGTCTCAGGCTGTTGAGCTTGGGGTCCCCTTGGGCTTCGTAACTAGGGGAGGTTCATTGCCATCACTGCCATTTAGCATTCTGCTCTGGCCCCCACAGAATGTTCAGGGGCCAGCGGAGCTGTGATGCTGTCTCCTGCAGACTGAGAGCTCCAGGTCGGCACTGTGGCCCCGATGCCTGGCCGGGGGACTCGAAGCAGAGGTGGGCTCACAGTTAGTAGGCACTTGCTCGCAGTCTGGCCCTGACTCTGGCTGATGGTTGTTTGTGGATAGATCACATGTCTTCTGAGAGTCAGAGGTGGGGTGGGAGACTGTGGTGATGGCAGCAGGGTCTTTTTTGAGGTGTTTGATGATATGATGACTTCACTTTCCAGTGGGTCTGGCAAGGGGTTGAGGGCAGGGAGAATGGGAGACATCGCAGCTCCTCTGATCACTGATTTGTTAGCCTGAGGGGCCTCCCTTTCTCTGGGTTAAAATAGCTTAAATTCAGTCCATCTCCAAGGCAGTAAGTGAACTGGCAAGGGGCCCCATCCCATCTTTCCTCCCTCCCAGCCTCCTTACCTGTCTGACAGCTGCCCAGACACAAAGGAGCCACAGAGCACGCCGACGAAGAACAGGGAGGAGGTGAGGGGTGTCTTCCAGTCTTCCTCACACACCAGATTCCACTGCCAGGGACGACAACAGGAAGCGTGAGCCCAGCTCCCCAGCAGGCCCAGCCCCAGCCAGGTTCCGAGAGACTATCAGTACGGCAGCCGGGCAGGTTCACTTTTGTGCAAAGGGCATAGGCCTCATGGCCCGGGGATTGGCTCCTGACTACCATTCACTGGGCAGGTCGCTGTCCTCTCTGAGACTCCCCCTCCTCTTCTGAAAGGGAGGGTGACATCTCCGGTTCTGCTTACATCACGCAGCAAGAAGCGAGCTAAGGCCGCGGCTATGACTGGTGACCCTCAGCTGCAAAGCACTATGAAGTAGAGGTGGCACGTCTACTTCAGAAGGCATCAGAGCACAGAGGGAAGATGTTAGAAACTCCTGAGGGACAGTACAGAAGGCACGGTCAGTTGGTACAGGTGTAAAAGTTTCCTCTGCCTTGTCCCAGAGGGTCTCTGACCACATGCTCTGGGCAAACTCCTTAGGAGACCCCTGTGCTCCCTGGTCCCGTTACACCACAGGCCAGTCTGGGGTCCTGATCCAGGGCCCCACTATGTGAGGGGGAGGGGACCTTATCTCCCATTTACACTTCTCCATCCTCCTTCCTACACAGCCTTCCCAGAAGTGTGGGCTCTCCCATGCTCCAGGGCCCATGGGCTGCTGTAGCTCTGACAAGTCCCTGCTGGTTGATCCATACAATGAGGGTTTTGGTCAAAGTTTTAGTTCTCAGCTCATAACTTAAGCCAATTCAGCAAAATCTCAAGGGAGGTTATAAAAATTTCAAAGTGTGTTCAATGAACTTTCATTTATTTAATAAATAAGCAGGTGCCAATAAATATTTGGGGGCTGTGGGTCAGGGGCTTGCTGTGTGTGGCCAGACGATCTGGTCTAGAGGAAGGACGCTTGCCTCTGCCCTATCCCAGCTTTCATGCTGGTGGCGCTGTTTCCATGACATTTGCAAAGCAATTCAGTTCTTAATCCTCACAACATCCCTCAAGTAGATTTAAAAACGAATTCACATATTTATATCACACCTCATTCTGCAGCAGAGAGAGGAGTGTATAATGACACAGACAAGAGAAAAGTATGAAGCGAAAAGGAAAGAGATTCAGGGCAAACAGAAAGCACAAGGGAGGAGGGGTCGCAAAAGAACCAAGCCAAGGGTAACACTGACTGCCGGTCTGCCCGCCCAGAGGCCTGCCTGCCTGCCTGCCCGCCCAGAGGCCTGCCTGCCTGCCTGCCAGGGAGACCCTGAAATCCGGCTCGGAGTGCCTCAGCAGCTCAGCTCACAGGACCACAGCCCGCAAAGTGGTAAACTCATTCTGCAGCAGCTGAGTTGTTTTGAATACTGAGACCTGAGAGAGTCTCTCTTAGATCCTTCCTTCCACAAAGAGGGTCACTCTGTGATGTTGAGGATAATGTCCTTGAGAACACCTCTGTCCTGGAAACAGTAGCAAGATTTATGAGGTTGCCTCTCCCGGAGCCCACGATGCTGGCCACAGGCGGGGCGCCCAAGCACAGCTCTGCAGAAGGAAGACAGCATGGTCCAGAAACTCAGCTCTCTACCCTTTAGGCACAATCCAAGGAAAAATCTGAGACCACATCCAGAATAGGGTTGCTTCATCTGGGGTCGCTGAATGGACTTTCGGGGCAAGGGCACAAACTCCCCAAAATTGTATGGCCCAGCTAGCCTAGAGGTCAGAAAAGTCAGGTGAGGCATGCGCCTGAATTACTGGCCACCCACTTACAAAAATCACTAGCTAAAGTGTCAGAAAAAAGTTTGGTATCTGCTCCAATACATAGTGAGGTGAATAATCGAGGTCCCCAAACCTCATGATGTAGAGTGTGACTCATTTTGTAGAAGAGTAAATGGAGGCTCTAAGACTGGGATTTGTCTGAAGTCATAGCAAATAAATGGGCATGAGAATTACCGACTGCTTTGGACATGAACTCCAAAAGCTGGACAAAATGAACTTATTAAATTCCATCCGCAGAGGACTAGGGGTAGAAGGCCTCCACCGTGGCCTCAGCCTTGGGCTTGGTAGGGGTCCTGACGTGTTCATTATCGAGTAATACCATTCCATCTGCAAGTGGAGCAGAAAAGCCCTTCCCGAGATAATGTGCTCTCCCTCCTTCGTGGCTTTTTTGAACTTTTTCTGTCAGGACTCTGCCTTAGAGGAGGCTAGATAGGACTTAGCGACAGAAAGGAGAGAAGAAAGCTGTCAGATGTGGAGCCAGGTGTCGCACGAGTGAAAGTAGTGGGCAGGACTGGCTACCTGATTTGCAGGCCCTGTGCAAACTGAAAATGCAGGAAACCCTTCTTCAAAAATTATTAAGAATTTCAGGATGTCAATACCAGAGCAGTAAAACCAAGTGTGGGCCCTGTGTGACACCACAGGTTGCCCGCCCATGAAGCTGGCCTGGTAGTGGGTCGAGCCTGGTCTCTTTGGGGAATGGAGCAGAGGAAGTTCTGAACTAGGGTGCTGGGAAGGGTGAGGTGAGGGCCAGCTCCCTATCACTTTCTTACTGGAGACCATGCAGCCATGGCTCTCGGTCCCCTTTCCTCCCTGAAGAAAGGCCCAAGAAGCCCTGTCAGCATCATCAGCACAGGAGAGGGCCATACAGGAAGAGCAGCCACCTGCCCCAGACCCGTGCAGGCTGCAATCTGTCTTTGGAGACCCTGCCCACGCCCAGCAGGGAAGGCTGGACCTTACGGTTGCCCATGGTTGGCTCCAGGGCTGGGGCCCCTTTTGAGGAGTTACTGTGCTTGAGGAGTCCTTTTGGAAAGCTGCAAGGGGCCTGGTAGGACACAGGATTGGCAGGCAAAGCTCCAGCTGAGGCTCATGGGCTGCAGTCTAGTAAATCAGCCATCAGCCTGAAGAGGAGCCCTTTTCTCCACAGAGCTATTGTCAGGGAGGCCAGGCCCTGCCTGTCCCCAGTCCCTTGGGGTTCGAGGGGTGTGACTTGGGGCCTCACTGGCCAGGACCCAAGGAACTCCCTGTGGTAAACAATGACATAATAGTCTCAGTGGGAGACAGTCTTTTCCTCGATGGGACAAAACTGTCCCTTAGGTGTCTGCACATGAGTTTACACACATGCACACACAGATACACATCTACACAGCCAGCTCAGAGGCTGATGGGGATGGTCTGGTGAGAAGCTAACTCACCTTCCTCTGGATCTGTGCTTTCAGGTCTCAGACACTGACGTTTCAGAAACATAACTTCTCCCCCACCCCACCCCCATACACCCTTGGACAGACAGTGGGACTTGGGAACCAACTGGCCCAAGCTGCGCAAGGTGAAGGCACTGGACATGCCTCCCTCCTTTCCCCCGGATTACTATGTCCTTCTCATCCTCAGAGTCTCAGACCAAGGTTTCCTGACACAGCAGAGTGAGCGCTATTTAGCTGGACCATCTAGCCTTCAGCTCTACTTTAAGAAATAAAAACCCAGGTCACGAGGTAAAAGGGGACAGGAGGCTACTCTCGGCATAGAAGGATGTGCCTCTCATCCCTCCCGATAGTAATAATAGGAATGACAGCTATAGTGTACCATACACTACAGTACTCTGTGTGCACTGTATTATCTCGTGGGATCTCAACGTTGCCATGAGAAATGGGTACTCTCTTTGTTTTAAAAATGAGGAAATGAAGGCACAGAGCACAGAAACAACCAGATGACATTCTAGTGGATTGGTACAGGAATTGCTTAATCATGTATCCAACTGTCATTGAGCACCTGCTCTGGGCCAGACTCTGTGAGGCACAAAACAGACATGGTTGCTGCCTCCACAAATTTCAAGGTTGAACATATTTTACTGGACAGATCAGGTATGCACATGTGTATGCATGAGCCCAGCAGTCCTGGGCAGGGCAGGCTCTGTTCTGGGCCGTTGTGCCCTTGCTCTCTGGCTAGAGAGGGGAAAAGGCACACCTTCCTCATCCTTTTCGAGATGGATAAATTTCTAAAGCCTGAACCCATTCGTATAGCCATTTGAGATAACTAATGCTTGCACAAGGCCAGGCACATGGTGGAGGCTTAACAAACTGTTGAGGAACGAACGTTGAACGTTTATGAGTGATGGAAAATAAGTTTGGAAAACATGTGGTATCACACACTGTCCTTTGAAAATCATCCTTAACCTTGAACTCTCCAAGTAGCCAAAGTTTTAGCCTTTATGAAAGCCATAAAAGACCATAAAGGTAAGTGTACCCCTGAGCTACATAGAATTGAGAACTTGGGAGCAGCCTGATATTCAGCGAAGAGCACAGGTTCTCTTGGGTTCTCCCACTTCTGGCTGTATGACTTTGGGCCACTAGTTCACTTCTATCAGTCTGCTTTCTCATCTTCAAAGAGGTGACAATACTCCCACATGGGGACGCTGTGAGCATTGGACAGGAATTGTAAGTAGAGTGTCTGACACAGTGTCTGACACATTACAGGCCTCATTAAATGGCAGTTCCCTTTCTACTAACCTCACACCTTTGTCCGAAGCAAAACCATGACAGGACAAACAGTGCAAATGAATAAGCAAAGCAGGTTACACTTAAACCTGACTGGGCAAAAGAGATTCTTAGAAACAACTTTGTATTCAATGACTAAAAACTAGAAAAGCTTTTACCACAAGGTATGACATCTCTTTATAAATGGACTTCAATCTCAGAGATGAGTATAAATGAAAAATTAGCATTAATCCATTTAAGAATGAAAAATGGATTTTGATCCTGTCCTCTTATGGTTATTTTTCATTCCAGGGGGGAAACTAAGAAGCAGCAGTTAGTTGATAATAGAATATACATTGCCCCGATGTCTTCTTTATAACTTAGTTGCGACTTAAAGCTAAAAATTTCTTGACCGTTGGGGGAATAAAAGCTTACTATTTAATTCTTTTTGTTTATCATAGCTATATTGAGATATAATTTACATGCCATAAAATTCACTCTTTCAATGTGTACATTTCAGTGGTTTTTGGTATATTCACAGAGTTGTGCAACCATAATTTTAGAACGTTTTCA